TATATATATATATATATATATATATATATATATATATATATATACCTGTATTTCTGCTTCAGTCCTTCTGATCCCTTAATTTTGTCTTGGACCAATTTGCAAAAACAAAAAGTGCATATATTATTATTCTTACCTGAGGAAAACTGAATGTATGAATGATATTCTGTTTGCTCTAACATCTTATTTAGAGATTTAAGTAAAGGAAAATTTCAAGCAAAGGAATACATGTAAATCATTATTAGGAAAATATTTGGTCACTAGTCCTCTACTTTGAAGAGAGTAAATGTTCAGTAATGTCTTTTGAAAGAAAGGTTGGATGAATGGGTAGGTAGCTGGATGCTACTTCTTGCTTATTTCTGCTCATTGATCTTAAAGATAAAATAAACATTTCCACATTAACCCAGCAATGTTAGGACCTCTCACCAGCTCTCTAAAGCAACTCCCAAGTGTGTCTTAAACAAATTTTCAGTAACAAATCTGTGTGATAGTTCTGACAAGACACATTTTTAAAAATAAATTACTTCTCCTTACTGACCATGCCCTAGAAATTTTTGTGACTTTCTCTAGTATCCAGTTCTCCAGTTAAGAGAACTATAACATTCAACATTCAGATGACAAAAATTAATAGTTTCTGAATTTAACATTTTCCATTTTTAACTTTATTAAAATGATAAATTGTGAGAATTGTGTCTCTATTTTCCTCCTATGGAGTCCAGCAATATTTTGACCTTTTCAATCTCATTCGATAAGCATTGCAGTTCTCCTTTTTAATTGCCCTACGAGGTATAAGGAAGAAGACTAGAGACTTAAAACATATGTGACTGAATAGGTCAACCTCACAAACGTGCAGAACGTGTTTTCGGAAATACATTTTGGCTAATTTGCAACCTGAATTTATTTTCATTTGTGACATTCTGTTACCACGGAAACATGCTGTAAATACCAGATTTCAAATTGCACTCCTTTTGGGGTCATTCATTTATTCTTCCCCTTATGTCCATTAACCACAGGCAAAGTCCAGATCTAAAATAAATCATCTGGAGGCTTAGATACATTTTGGAATAAGTAAACCAGCTGATAATAAATCTTGTGCAGTGTCCACCAGCACAAAAGATTTTCTGATTTATTCTTTGCAATTGGTTGAAGTGCAAAGGGACTTAAATATCAAGTGTATATTAGAAGGAAGTAAAAATACTTAAAAATCTGAGTCATGTCACTTGATTTTTTTAAATGATTGAGTAGGAGGCATGTAGTGCTTGTGTGAGTCAGAAAGAAAATGTTAAAAATTATATCATATGACGCTGGTATGTACCGGGAATCCGGGTGCAGTACACATTTCAATGCCTTTTGTAGAAGAGTCCTTTGATCCTGGAGACAGGCTGATCATAAATGACACTCATTTTGACACCACTGAGCTTTGGAGTTGTGCAGAGGAATAAAAGGCTGAGGTTGGCCTTGATAATAAAGGAAAAATGTGAGCGGTTCCTGACCCCTTGGAAGAGTGAGGCAGTTTCAAAAACAATTATGTGTTCGGTGATTCACATTGGTGTACCTCTGCCTATCCTAAACCAACAGAATCAAAGAGACTGCTTAAACAAGGTCCAGACAACAGCATTCCTTGCATCCTGACAACACAAGTTGTTTATGATAATGCTATAGAAAAAATTCCTGAGTTATTACACACTGGCTCAGAAAATGATACAAACTACGTTTCTCAAACGTTACCAAATAAAATGGCCCTGTTTCCAACATGGAAATGAAAGTGCCCTAGCCTCTTGCTACAGTTGTCTCTGGGAGCATTTGTGTTTTCCTTAGAGTAATGAAAACATTGATTAGTTTTATTAACTGAATATCAATCTCAATTTTGGACCAAGGAAATGGCAGTTCTATAGATCTAACAACCTTGTGCTTTTGGAATTGTGCATCATTTCTGCTGCAAAGGCCAGCAGTTCTTACAGCTGGGCTTTTAATTAGGTCTCTTGGGGGCCAGAATGCTGGATATGCCTGAGAGAATTTAACGACAAGATGTAACTTTGAGTGAATTTGTGTCAAAAAATTAAGCTTGTGAGGAAGAGGAAAAAAAGAGAAAGCTTTTCTTCAGTACTTTCAATTTTCCAAAATTCATTTTGTAATTAAAAAACTAAAAAGTTGCAGGAAATTCTATTCTACTAAATGCATCTAAAATCTTTCTGTGTATTCTAAAGGTTTTTTTCCCAACCTGATCTCATTCTAACTCTATTTCCATTAAAAATAACAGTAGTATCAAATACTGGGGAGGATGTGGGGAGCAACTGGAACTCTCATATATAGCTGTGGGAGTGAAAAATATTGCAAACACTTTGGAAATTTGTCTGAAATTTCCTAAAATGTTAACCATGTGCATGCCCTTTGATGCAGTAATTCTCTCCCTCTCTCCCTCTCTCTCTCTCTCTCTCTCTCTCTCTCTCTCTCTCTCTCTCACAAAGTTTGGAAGGATGACAGAAAGTAATTCATGACAAAGATCTAACCCACAGTAAATGCCAGAGCATTGATGACTGTAATGTTGTTACTATAAACAGAACAATGCATCCAAATTCCTTCCTCTGAGGACCTCCTACGTGATTCCCATATGCACCCAAGGTGTTTAGAATATCTCTTCCGGCTACCAGGTAAGCTATGCATCCCTTTATCATTGCTGAAGTTGTTAATAAATTCCTGATAAATGTTGGGTGCTGTTCCAGGTACTGAGAGGACTCTTCCCCCATCAGAGGGCTTATCGTACCCAAGTCATTCTCTCTCTCTCTCTCTCTCTCTCTCTCTCTCTCTCTCTCTCTCTCTCTCTCTCTCTCTCTCAATACACACACACACACACACACACACACACACAATGAAGAGCGATTAACACATATATTCACAAGAAGAATTGAATGTTTCTGGCAGCTATATTCACAAAAGTCAAACACTAGGAACATTTAACCTTCCATTACAAGGAGAATGGATAAACAGTTAAATTGTGGGAAATTCATAGAATTTTTGGTAATAAAAAAGAGCAAATTATGATTCATGCAGCAACATGGATAAAAGTCAAAATCATCTTGTCGATCAAAAGAAAGTAGTCACAAAATTATATCAACTTCAAGAACAGAAAACAAACTAACCTATAGCAATAGAAGCCAGAATATTGATTATCTTTGGTGGTGAAAGCTATTTACTAAGAAGTGGGCAACAAGGAACTTTCCAGGTGAAATATTTTCAACTTTCCAGATGAAAATATGTCTGTATCTTGATCTGGGTGGCTTTTACATGGGTGTATCCACAAGCAAATATTCACTTAAGTCAATATTCAGTTAAGATTTGAGAATTTGGCTATATGTAAAATTCACCTCAATTAAAAAAAGATTAGTGAATAACAAAAAGTAGGAAAAGTTTAGGAAAACCCCTTACTTTTACTGCAGCACCTAATACATTAAGAGTTGAGCTAAAATATGTAAAGAAGGATTAACATATAGGTTTAATTAATATAATAAAAATAATAAATTATGACTTGTGGAACAAATTAGTACATGAGTACAAGATTAATCAACTTAGATTATTCTCTAATAAATAAGTAAAGTAGAAGTAAAAAGCATACATAAAGTAAAAGATAGCAAATTTCTTCTTCTAAACATAATCTTACCATCTGCTTTGTTGCCTTCTTCCACCAAGAGTTTCGCAATATTAAAGAATCCTTTTGCAGATGCTAGGTGGAGGGGCCTATCTCCAACTTCACCGCTTACATTTACATCAGCACCAAATTTCAAAAGGAGGCGGGTTACCTAAAGGATCCATGCATTTGAAATTAGTATCAAATGCCAAACAGTAATGTAATGCCTTCAGCAATAGGGAAGGAGACATATCATTTAGGTTTTCTCTTGGATAATATTTGCCTGAAAAATAACAGAAAATCCTAACTCAACTGGCCTAAACAATAAGGAATTTATTATTATATCACCTAGCAAGAAATCTAAAACTGGATCAATTTCAGGGTTGGGTCTTCATTGTATCAATATATAAATAATCTTCTCTCAAGTCACCCATAATCTTCTCTGAACAATCTTTTCTAAAGTCTCCTTCTGGCCAGAGCCAGCAGTGCTTACTTGATTCTTGATTTTCATAGCAGTTCCATGCATAGGTCACCAATGATAAGCTTGCTACTGGGGTTCTGGGTCCTTTTTTGATTTGTGAGTAAACAGGAGATAGCCACACTAGCCCCCAGCATCTTCCCAAATTAGCTGAGATTCACATCCAAGATGACAGAGAGAGATGAAGTAATAAACAACTCAAGAGTTTCCAGGGGTTGTTTCAGGTAATTTATGGGATTCCTTCAAATTATTTATATATTCACTTAGGAACCTTCCAAATAATTTCTCTAAAATTGACATTACCTCCCCTGTGAATTTTAGGACTCATCATAGTGATCCCAAGAGATAAGTTAGGATGCACCCGTGCCATTAAAATAACAGTTATGGGAGGACCCCTCAAAAGTCTTGACCATTGTGGCATCAGCATAAAAGTGAATTCAAGCTCTAAAACTATTTTGTGGCAGCAAGTAAATATGTCTTGAGCAGAAGCCTCTCAAGAATATGGTATATATTCAATAGAAATTCTAGGCGAAAAATTAGCTGGGTGGGATGTGGGAAAACTTCCTATTGCATGCAGTAGGTAAAGAACAAAGGCTCTGAAATTGGGCTTCTTCTTATTAGGTATGTCACCTTGAATACATTATTTGGCCTTTTGAAAATTCAGTTTCTTTGTTGCTAAAATGGGAATGTCTCATAGAGTTGTTGTGAGAATTAAATAAGTTATTACACATAAAGCACTTAGAAAAGTGCCTGGTATTCAATAAATAATAGCAGAAGTGGTAGCACCAATGTGGAACACGTGTATTTTATCTATTTCTTGGCTAATGGGCAGACCAATACTTAATTCAAGAGAAATCTGAACAGTAGACATTTAGTCTCAAGAACCTTGCACTCCTAAGCAGATATTTCCACTTACACAGGCTCCATAAATTCTGATTATGTGACTTTATAATGGACAGATTTAAACTATCTTTGAAATCGATTGTCTATTAAGTACTATTATTATATACCTAGGAACTATTGCTGTTGGTAAAATACTCTTCCACTTAAAATAAGTAAATAAGCAAATGGCAAGGAACATGGCACATTAGGCACATTTATATATCGAATGTGCCATTCTCCTGTCAGCATATTTTAGTAAATGACAATAGCTTCCATAAATTACTTATGTGCTGTCTTTGCACATAGAAAGTGAGTCCCTTATCATAAAAGGGCCATCCACATTTTAGCATAATTTTATAATACTGTGACTATATATTCAGGGAAAGTAAACAAATTTAGGTCTCCACACAACATGCATAGAAGCTCTTTGTGTTTCTGCTGGGTCATGAGGTTAATCGCCAAAGAGGATGACTCTACAAATAACAGGCACTGTGTATATCCTGTCTGTGCCTGAAGTCAGAAAAGTATAAAGTTTTTTCGTCACCTGAGTTTTGGACCCAGTACTTTCAGAAGCGTTTTCAGGGCTCAGCTCTCCAGGGCACCCCAGTGCAGTCTGAGCAGCCTATCAATGAAATGAGCAGTCTCCCCTAGTTAGAGGTCACATTTCTCAGGTCTGAGACTGTCCAGGCACATGCCAGCCAGCAAAGAAATAAAGGCACAAAGACTAGAACAGCACAGAGACACAAGGAAGTTTGATTTTCAACTTGGGATCCTCAGGCAGTGCAATCGCATGACCTGTACGAAGGTAAAAAGGTATAATTCTGCTGCATAACTGAGACCAGTTCTAGAGAGATAAAATGAGGAAGAGTAAAAACAGAATATCAAAAGAACAGTTAAGTTTTGATTATCTAATTACATTTGTATTTCTGTTTTATTTGGTTCTATTGAGTTTCTTGAGTATAGCTAGAAGACAGTGTTTGAAAAGAGCATGTAAAATTTTTCTTTCAATATGTTAAGGTTGAAAATCAACAGACTGTGGAATTACAGCACCAGGTCTTGAATTCTAGCTCCCCTACTTCAGTAAATGGCCTGGACTTTATGATTTCTCTCACTGATAGAAGAGGGGTAAGAAGAGGCTCTTCGGTACAACAGAATGAAGATGGGTTTTGGGATCAGACAGACCTGAATACATACTCCAGCTCTTCTACTTATTAGCTGCATGACTCTGGCATGCTACCTGACCTGAGTAAGCTCCATGTGTATCATTGATTAGAAGGGATAAATAACAGCTGATTTTAGGGTTGGGGCAAAATTAGAAAAAATCCACATAAAGGCCTTAACATAGTGCCTGTCCCATAGTATGAGTTTGCTCCCATGGTAGCTCTTATTAAGTTTATAAGGTTGTCACGAAGGTCAAATGAAATTATTTGTTGAATGACGCTACATTGTAAACTTTAAAGCATTCTATACATATCATTACTTAATTACAGAGTATCAAAATTTATAAATATGTTTCTGATACATAACTATATATTTAAAGCAAATTATATATTTAAAGCACATTTAGTGATTGTTTTTTAGTTTATCTAGGTTATTCCATATATTAGTTTCCCATTGCCACTGTAGCAAATTACCACAAAATTATTGGATGAAAAAAACACATTTTTATTCTCTTAGAGTTCTGGAGGTCAGAAGTCCAAAATCAAGGTGTTGGCAGGTTGCATTCCTTCTGGAGGCTTTCATTTCCTTACTTTTCAGCTTCTATAGCCTGCCTGCATTCCTTAGCTTGTGGCCCCTTCTTGTATCACTTTAATGTACTGCTTCCATTGTCACATCTCCTACTACTCACTCTGATTTCCTGCTCTCTATTATATGGACCCTTGTGATTACATCAGTTCCACCCAGATAATCCAGGATAATCTCCCCATTTCAAGATCCTTAACTTGATCACATCTGCAAAGTCCCTTTTAAGGTAACATTCACAGGCTCCACAAATTAGAACGTGAACATGTAAACATATTTTGGTAGACATTTTTTAGCCTACCACATGCCAGGTTACTAGAAAAGAGGAAATTCCATTTCTAAAAGTTATCTTTTTTCAGAGAACTTTTGGAATGGGCTTTATGATTTGTTTTATCGTTAGTGTTAGTATCATCCCAGTGACATTTGTTGAGCATTTGCCAAACACTTTAAATTAATATTTCATCATAAGAGCAACCCTATGAGGTAGGTGCTATTAATATTTTTTTTTCATTTTATAGACAAGAAACCGAGGATCAGGGATATTATACAACCTACACATGGTCATAAAGCTAGTAATTTTTCAAATTCAGGCAGATTTCTATAGCCACCCACTTACCCATATACGCTACTGCCTCCCTCGTGTACTAAAGTAGTCAGTAAAAATGTATAACTTGGGGGCTTCCCTGGTGGCGCAGTGGTTGAGAGTCCGCCTGCCGATGCAGGGGACACGGG